GGCGACAGAGCAAGACTCTGTCCCCCCCTCCGCCCAAAAAATAAAAGAAATGGGAGGGGTTGCAGCTGTGCAGAGGGTGACCAGGGACAGCCTCATGTAGGCTAGCAAAATCCTGGAGGTGAGGGAGGGAGGGAGCTTGGGGAAGCCTGGGGGAACAGCAGACCAGGCAGAGGGCACAGCCTGTGCAAAGGCCCTGGGGCAGGACTGTGCCTGGCGTGTTGGAGGCACAGCGAGGAGGCGCATGCGGCTGGAGCAGAGTGAGGAAGGAGAAAGAGGAAGGAAGGGGGTGGTGAAGAGAGAGGATGGGACAGGTCGGGCAGGGCCTGGTGGGCTGCAAGGAGGACTTGGGCTTCTAATGGAAGGGGAGAACCGTGGGATAATTTTTGAGCTAAGCTGGGGCATGATTTGATTTAGGTCTTCCTGGGATCCTTCTGGCTGCCGGGTGCCAAAGGGCAAGGATGGAAGCAGAGAAAACAATTCATTATCATCATCAGATTAATTGCTGATCCTTTTATTGTTATTACTTTTGCAACTGTTGTTATTATTCAACTACTAGGCTCCCTCCAGGTGGCAGGGAGACAGGGTTGAGGGTGGGGTCTCCCCGAGATCACCTGTGCGCCCCCTCCCCTCCCCTCTCAAGGCCAATCCGGAGCCGGCAACAACTGGGCCAAGGGCCACTACACCGAGGGCGCCGAGCTGGTGGACGCGGTCCTGGACGTGGTGCGCAAGGAGGCGGAGAGCTGCGACTGCCTGCAGGGCTTCCAGCTGACCCACTCCCTGGGCGGCGGCACCGGCTCGGGCATGGGCACCCTGCTCATCAGCAAGATCCGCGAGGAGTTCCCAGACAGGATCATGAACACCTTCAGCGTGGTGCCCTCGCCCAAGGTGTCGGACACGGTGGTGGAGCCCTACAACGCCACGCTGTCGGTGCACCAGCTGGTGGAGAACACGGACGAGACCTACTGCATCGACAACGAGGCGCTCTACGACATCTGCTTCCGCACGCTCAAGCTGACCACGCCCACCTACGGGGACCTCAACCACCTGGTGTCGGCCACCATGAGCGGGGTCACCACCTGCCTGCGCTTCCCGGGCCAGCTCAACGCCGACCTGCGCAAGCTGGCGGTGAACATGGTGCCCTTCCCGCGCCTGCACTTCTTCATGCCCGGCTTCGCGCCGCTCACCAGCCGCGGCAGCCAGCAGTACCGCGCGCTCACGGTGCCCGAGCTCACGCAGCAGATGTTCGACGCCAAGAACATGATGGCCGCCTGCGACCCGCGCCACGGCCGCTACCTGACGGTGGCCGCCGTCTTCCGCGGCCGCATGTCCATGAAGGAGGTGGACGAGCAGATGCTCAGCGTGCAGAGCAAGAACAGCAGCTACTTCGTGGAGTGGATCCCCAACAACGTGAAGACGGCCGTGTGCGACATCCCGCCCCGCGGCCTGAAGATGTCGGCCACCTTCATCGGCAACAGCACGGCCATCCAGGAGCTGTTCAAGCGCATCTCCGAGCAGTTCACGGCCATGTTCCGCCGCAAGGCCTTCCTGCACTGGTACACGGGCGAGGGCATGGACGAGATGGAGTTCACCGAGGCCGAGAGCAACATGAACGACCTGGTGTCCGAGTACCAGCAGTACCAGGACGCCACCGCCGAGGAGGGCGAGTTCGAGGAGGAGGCCGAGGAGGAGGTGGCCTAGGCCCCCTGCCCTCCCTTCCTGTCTGCCCCACCGCCGGGCGTCTGACCTGTGACCCCCTTGACCCCCTCTCTGAGCCCCAGAGCCCCACTTCCTCCCTGCCCCTCGGCCTGACTCGGCTCTGACCCTGCGATTTCGTGAATGTCACTCTGCCCTGACCCTGACAATGCCTTTGGAGCCCACTTCACCTCTGACCTTGCCTCACCTTTGACCTTTAAGGCCCACTTTATCTTTGACCCCCCCACTTAAGCTCTGCCAATTTTGACACCCCCAGGAGCCCCGCTTCACTCCTGACCCCATAAACCCTGCCCTGACCTCTTCACCTTTAACCCCCCATGAATCCCATTTCTCCTCTAGACCTATGAGCTTTGGTTTAATTTTGATGCCTCCCTCTGAGCCTCACTTCACCTCTGACCTTGCCTCACCTTTGACCCCCCCAGGCCCTAGGTCCCCTCTGGCTCCCCATACCCCCCACATCCTCCCCGACCTCACCGCCCTCAGCTCCTGCCCCCTTTGGCTTACCTGGGGTGGTGGGACACCACTGGCACCCGCAAGGAAGAGAGGCTGTCCCGCCTACCCTCCCCACCCTCCTCTTCCCCCCCTCACCCTGGATAAATAAATTAATTGTTGTCTTGGAAGTTTCTGCCTAGTTCATTTTTCATCTCCTTGTGCAGCTAGCAAAGGCTTTTCCCTGCAGGGTGGGGGTGGGTGCTGACCTCTCACCTCTGGGTGGGAGAAATGGTAGGGAGGGGCAGAGATTTTGGAGTCAGACAGAAAAGGTTATTCCACTAATGGGCTGTGTGGTGTGGAGTAAGCCATTTGCTCTCTCTGAGCCTCGGTTCCCCAACCTATAAAATGGGATTGGAGGTTTTTCCCCAGGAATCCCACACGCCCACCACGGGGTTGTTTGTGAGGACTCAAGCAGACCTTGGGGACACAGAGTAGGTGCTCATCAACAGAGCTGCTACCGTTCTCTGTGGGACACCTTGCAAGTACGGAAGGCAAGAGGAGGAAGCTCTAGGGAAGGGTGCCAGGGAGATGTCCACCTGGGCTAGCACCTGAGTGGCAGTCCTGCCAGAATAACATCATAGCTCCCACTCACAGAGCTCTACAGTGTGCCTGGCTCCTGCCTCAGCTCATGCAACCCTCTCGACCACCCTGTAAAGTCTGAGCTTTTATCCCCTTTGACACAAAGATTTAGAGAGACAAAACGTATCGGTTAGCTTTTGCTACATAACAAACTGTCCCCTAAAACTTAGTGGCTTAAAACAACAACACGTGTTTATTTTGCTCCCAAATCTGCAATTTGAGCAAGGGCGGGGCAGATCACTCTGCTCCCTGTAACATCAGCTAGAACATCTTAGCTGGAGGCTGAGGAATCTACTTTCAAGGTGGCTGTCAACTGACTGGCCAGGTGGCACCAACTATTGGCTCAGAGCTTAGCAGGAATAGATTGAACAAAGTCCTCAGTATTTCTCCACGTGGGTCTCTCCATAGGCTGCTTGGGCTTCCTCACAACATGGTGGCTGCGTTCCTCAAGAGCAAACATCCCAAGAGAGCAAGGTAGAAGTAAATGCAGAAGAAAAATGCATTGTGTTTTTATGACCTAGCTTCAGAAGTCACATGGTGTCACTTCCCCCAGACTCTTCATCAAGGCAGTCACAAAGTCCTGTCCAGATTCAAGGGGATGGGATACAGACTCCACCTCTTGAGGGCAGAGTGGCAAGATTCTAAAGAGCATGTGGGATGGAACATAGAGCTGTGGTCATCTTTGGAAATTACAATTTGCCACCCAGAGTCACCTGCCCTTGGTCACATGACTATTAAGCATTCAGCTGGGATTCCAGCCCTGCCAGTTGAACTCTAGAACTCTGATGCTACTGTGTCAGCCAAAGTTCAGTGTGGGGACCATTCTAGGTATATTAAGCAGAAAGGGATTGAATACAAGAATTTACGGGGCTTGCAAAATCACTGGAGGGGCTCAGAGAGTGGGCTGTAGGCCAGTGTTTCTCAAACTTTACTGTGCAAAGAATCACCAGAAAATAACTTGATAAAATGCAGCTTCCTTATTTCACCCTCGGAGTTTCAGATTCGGTAAGTAGGTCTGGGGGTGGAGGCTGGGGAAAGCCAAGACTTTGCATTTCTAACAAGCTTCGCAGATGATACTAATGATGTGCAAATGAGCCCTGGAATAGGTCATGCTCCCAGGAAGGACCCTCGCTCTTGATACCCTATAGCTGAGCCACCGGGGAGCTGCTTCCTTTGTATAGTAAGAGAGGTGGAGGCTGCTACCATAACTATGACCTGCAAATAGGTCCAGTGGAGAACAAAAATTCATTAACATAAAATCCATGTCTCCACAACTTTGCTTCTCAGCAAAATAGACATGCATGCACGCATACACACACGCACACGTGGGCTCACTTCCACTTTCTAAATCTCTCATGAGCATTTCCAATTGGTAGAACCAATTCTGTAGCCAGAAGTGGAGTTGCAAAGGCATCTGGGAAATGTAGTTTTTTAAAAAAAAAAATTTCCAGACTCTGCATTAGGTAGGCAAACCAGGGAGAAGGGTAGGTGGGAAGGAGGGATGCTGAGAGACAATCGATCATGTCCACCACATGACACAAGACCACCAGACCCAGGCTAGGGTCCCACCTGTCGTACGGGCTCCCACCACAGCCGGGAGTAAGGAGAGGTGTAAGGAAAGCATCCTGGACACCAGGCTGCAGCAACAACCAGCTCAGCACGCCGGGCACAGCACTTATTTTTAATCCCCACCCAATGGATTTGCCATTGAGTATTTGTTTGGAATTGAAGTTCAAATATTAAAACACATCCTTGGGAAGCCCAAGGGTATGAGAGTGAGAAAGAGAAGTCCCGAGGTCTCGGCACCCCTATTCTCCAGGACCCAAACTCTGTTCAGCCTCATCCACCTGCGTGTTAGCTGGGGGCTTTGGAGGGGTGTGTATGTGTGTGTGTGTGTGTGTGTGTGCGTGTTTTCACATGCTTGTACATGTTCCCCCCTTCTCAGCCTCCTACAAGATAGTGGGGGTCTCTTATGGGTGTGTGTGTCCTCGTGACTCCTTGTGCCTGGCATGTCTTGGGGTATCTGGGGTAGGTGAGTGTCAGTGTGTCTATGTACCTGGTTGTCTTAGATACAAAATACCATTGGGGCTGCTGTAACAACATACTTAATTCACATTTTTATAAAACATAATTTATTTTCTCCCACTATTAAGTAATGTTAAGCAACAATCAGCTCTTGTTTTTTCATCTATACCATTGACTACTCTCATTAATATAGTTTATTCTCATTAATTGCTGAAATAGATCATGATCACATTTCATCAGCGTCATCAAGAAAGATCTAGTATACATAGTCTTGTACTTTTTCCTGGAACCCTCAAGATGTTGGCTGTTTGACCTGAGCAATTTCACTATTAGAACTTTATTCATTTAGTATAATATTTTAATCCATGTTAAATTACAATTAATTTCATGTTTAACTCTTATTAGCTCTTGAGGCATTGCCAGTAATAAATCTGAGATCATTTCTGAAAGCAAAGTTTCATATGAAAAGTAAGAATAAAATATTAGGGAACTTTCCCGA